TATAATATATTTTTTTTATATCAAAGTAAAACTTTTGTATTTTTATAGTGTAGTTTAAAACAAATGTGAAGACAATAAAAACATATCTTAATTATAATATTGTGCTATTTATGTCACTTTTTAAAAAAAGTTGTGTATAATATCAGCTCTTAATTCTATATACTTTCCTTTTTGTAATGATTGTATCGGAACAGTGTCAGAATTTTTTTAAAACAAATTTTAAATGACCTGTAACTCACGTGATATTGCATTCGTGCATAACGGTATACGTCGTAAATAACTAATAGAGGATGATAGCATATATAATGTATTCTGATGTGATATCCGGCCACCCTTGACTTCTGTGTTCCTGCTATGCCGAATATTCATTACACGAGTAAGAAAAGAACATTATAAAAGAGATTTTGTTTGTAATATATAGTCAAACAGTATGTTTTTTTTATTTGGCAAGTTTATTACATGTATGCACACACACACACACACACACACACACACACACACACACACACACACACACACATATTATACACATGTATTTTTTATATTTATTGCTTCATAAATTATTCTGCATAATGAAGATTGAGATTAGTTTTATAACATTTCGTTTTATAATGGCTTAATCAATTTTGTATGTAACTTATTATCAGTTAAGGGAAAAGAATTGAAACAGAACATTTTAACAATTATTATTTTATAAATAAGAATGTTTTTATTCTGTCTTAAAAATTATATCTAAAAAATATATAAACTTACGAACATATTTGTAAAACTTGGTACAGTTTAATTATATTTATTACCTAAGATCGAAAATTTTTATAAGTAATAGATTATGAGTAATAGATTAGTAGCTTCTCTGTGTAATGTTATTAGATTCTGCATTGTATTAATAAAATTTGTCATAATTCAACCTGTGTTTTTATTATAATAAAGTACTATCTTTTGAAAAAAAAGATTAACAAGAATGCATGTATTAATTAAAACGTAAATAGTATATAATTTTCATTGCATTATGCATATAAATAATGCTCAAAAGTCTATTGTTATTTTATAATTATTTGTGAAATTTAAGTCTCTTATGATAAATGAAAGATAGTAAGTTAGGTTTTCAGAAAAATGCTTTGACTTATTTCTCACTAGTAATGCAAATGTTTAAAGGAAGTTCAAAGTAACAATAATGAAATTCATAGAAGGTAGGGATGTACTTCGTTATAAAAACTCGCTGCTTTCCGCTGTCTTGTCTTTCAGTTGCGAGTCATCGTTTATAGAATCGGTTGATAAGCTCATTAAGTTGTTTATAATAAAACAAATCATAAATTACTGTGCAGAATATAAGATAAAAATATAAGATACAAAAATTAATTGTAAATATGTTTTATAATTGATGAATTAATTGAGAAATTTCTCAATCAATAAAATAATATTTTAATAATTTATTTTAAAAATATTGTTTTTTTTTTTCTTTAAATTGACGAAATCTGAAAATTTTGGGAACAATGACTACAAGAAAATTATTTACGAAAAGTTACAAAACACCTGAACCTGGTGAAGAAATTGTTATTTCTGGTATTGCCGGTAGATTTCCAGAATCAAAAAATGTAGAGGAGTTTAAAAACAATTTACTAAATAAAGTAGATATGGTTACGGATGATGATCGTCGATGGAAATTAGGTAATAAATATAATAAATAATTATATGTTTATTTTTACCCTAATTGCGTAATTAAAAAATCAAGTTGAATATAATGATTTATTATATTTTTATTAATGTCAACAGATCATCCAGACATCCCTCAGCGTACAGGAAAGATTAATGATGTTAATAAATTCGACGCGCTGTTCTTTGGCGTCCATTTTAAACAGGCCCACACGATGGATCCGATGTGCAGAATCTTATTAGAACACGCTTATGAAGCCATCATTGACGCGGGAGTTAATCCAAAGCAGTTACGTGGATCACGAACTGGCGTTTTCGTGGGTGCATGTTTCTCTGAATCTGAAAAGACTTGGTTTTACGAAAAATTACAGGTAGATCCTCACTATTAACGTGTGATAGTAAAGGACAGCTAAACGGGTCAAAAGATTCAAGATTCATTTTGTTAACTTAAATTTAGATGCAGAAAGAATTTCTGAGTTTATATTTTCTATTTTTGAAATTTTTTTATTATTTTTTTATTACTCGCTATTATTATTGTTCATTATTATTAAAAATGAAATAATAAAGTGTAGGAAATATCACACTCATATATTGAAGGCAATATATTAACGTAATACGAATTTGACATAAATGTAAATGATCATGTGTGTGTATGTGTACGCGTGGTGTGTGTGTGTGTGTGTATGTGTGTGTGTGTGTGTGTGTGTGTGTGTGTGTGCGCGCGCGCGCGTGATGTGTGCTGATAAAAAATGATTTTCTAATTTTAATTTTCTTGATTACGATTAGGTAAATGGTTTTGGAATTACCGGATGTAGCAGGGCCATGTTAGCAAATAGAATTTCCTACTGGCTAGGAGTGACTGGACCATCTTACACTTTAGATTCCGCTTGTAGCTCGAGCTTAATTGCATTGGAACATGCTTATCGATGTTTGCAAGACGGTCAATGCGACGCCGCTCTTGTGGGCGGATCAAACCTGTGTCTTCATCCCTATGTATCGCTGCAATTTTCTCGTCTTGGTATATAATCCCTTGTCTTTGATTATATTTTTTCTGCATGAATCTCTGAACATGAAAAAAATGAAAAGTCATGTTTCTTTCACTAGAATCCTAATAAAAACAAAGTTATACTTATTCTTAATTAAGTAATTATACTGATCAATAATCAAGTTAAATTTATTGCAAAGAAACATTTTATCTATGTTATATCAAAGACAATATTCATATACGAAGAAAATTTAAGAAAAGAAAAAGATTAAAACTTTCATTAAAACTTCAAAATATGTTTTCATAATTAGTTATAAATAGATAAACAATACCAACGAATTTGTATTACAACTGTACATTATGTAACTTTTCAGAAGATTTATTCGATAATTTTTTTCCTGAGAATATAAAATTGAAAAAGCCTAAATTTTCCGTCAAAAACACAATACATCTTTTTTATTAGAGATGATATGTTAATATAAAAAGTATATACTACTGTATATACTACATATATTTTTGGTATTTATAATATTAATCAATACATATAGGATATGATTCTGTAAGAAATTAATAATTTACAATTATATATGAAACACAATAAGTTATAAACATAAAGTATATGTGTATATAAGAGCTTTCATATAAAAATTTTTCAAGAGTATCACAGACACACACACACACACAAATACCAAAATACCTGAAGATATAGGCGATTATTTTTGTATATTTTATTATAATAATTACGATTACAGGAGTTTTGTCGCCTGATGGCCGCAGTAAAGCATTTGATGCCGACGCGAATGGTTACGCTCGCAGCGAGACAATCTGCGTTATATATCTACAGAAGGCGAAGAATGCAAAACGAATCTACGCTACAGTGGTCTACGGTAAGACAAACTGTGATGGTTATAAGCAACAGGGCATCACGTTTCCGTCGAGCAATATGCAAGCTACGTTGTTGGAAGAATGCTACAAAGATTGTAATATATTACTAAACGATGTGTTCTATATTGAATGTCATGGTACTGGCACCAAAGTCGGCGATCCTGAAGAACTTCACGCAATCGAGAAAGTCTTCTTTGAGAAAGATAGACCTACTCCTTTGCTGATCGGTTCTGTTAAATCAAATATGGGTCATGCCGAGCCCGCTAGCGGCCTATCTCAAGTTGCCAAGGTAACTTTTTTTTTTTAAGAAATATTATATTTATAATTAAGATTTATTGAAAATCTTTTGAAACAAGAAAGATAAAGTTAATTTAAAAAAATTTTCAATTTTAATAAAGAAATGTTAATGATTTATATATTTAGATGATAGTTGAAATGATAAACAATTCTAGTCTATATATTTAAATAATAATCATTTAGTTCTGTGATCTCTAATTTCTTATATTGGAGATTGTTTTTTTTTATTTTATTTGAGTAAATTTGACTTTTTGGATATTAAAATTCTAATTATTCAAATATCAGTCGGATATCAATAATAGGATAATTTGATGGACTATTATCTGAATACTCGAATACTAGAGTCCAGTCACAATTGGAATCATTTATATTTATATTTATATTTATATTCTAAAATCTGTTTTTCGGATTAAAACCAGGTAAAATGTCTCTGAGTAATATAAACAAATCAGCCAACGTTCATACCACGCTTAAATTACCAGTTCTCGTCCGATCACTGAAGTCAAGCAGCGTTGGGCATGGTTAGTACTTGGATGGGTGACCGCTTGGGAACACCGTGTAACGTTGGCCAAGTTTTTTTTGCATTTTTGGTTGCAGTAAGAAATAAAATATATCTTAATTTAAAAATTTTGGACGTTGGCTGATTTACTTATATTACTCAGAGACATTTTACCTGGTTTTAATCCGAAAAATAAATTTTAGAATATAGAAATATAAATATAAATGATTTCAATTGACTGAACTCCAGTATTCGAGTATTAAGATAATAGTAATTATATGTATAACTTGATTGTTTGACAC